TGACATCATGAACATGATCCTACCTAGTAATAGGGTTTGGGGGTGTTTTTTCTTCTGTGTAGCTTCATGTGTTTGGATAGTTGTGTAGTGAGCTGAATTTCAGACTCGTCCACTTGAAGTATAAACTATTTGCATGTGAATTCTACACATTTAAAATATACAATACAGAATGTGGTGGAAATTGAAGCAAGTTTCTGGGAGAAACACTAGAAATTAAAAGAGGTGATGTTGCAAGATTGGCTCAATGGTGGCAATATGGAAAATAATGCAATTGCAGTTAAACATTTAAAATGCATCTAAAGAGGAGGGATATAAATAAAATATTAAATGGAATAAACACAAGACATGAATGTGATAAAGAACTGATTCAGAGCCTTTCTGCTCAGGAGTCATTGGACCAAATTTAAAGGTATTCTGTTTTTTTACCAACTTTATATTGCATTTTCACAAACTACAAAGTATTTGACATTTCTACACAGGAGTGCAATATGTTAAAAGGAGCAAAGGGGGAAAAAAAAAAAAGCAAAGACGAGAGACAAAATTTGTATTTGTGGAGAAGTAAAATAAAAAGCAAGTCAAATAAAAAGCAGGTCAGAGATAATTGGAACGAGCTAAGCGAAGTTTATTTTCTTTCCTCCAATTTATGTCACAGCGGGCATCTGTAATTGTATTCTTGTTAATGTGGTCAAGGAAGGCAGTTCATGCTCTATAAAAAGTACCTGTGGAGCCCCGTAATGAGAATTTTATATTCTCTAGTTTAGGGATGAATTGTAAATCTTTGATCCAGTTTATAAAGGCAGGTGGGTGTACATCTTTCCATTTAAATAAAATTAGGCGTCTGGCAAGTAAGGTAGTGAAGGCCACACAGTCAGCTTCAGTCTTAGACCGTACGTGCGAATCTGGAGGAGTGCCAAAGATATCCATAAAAGGAGCAATGGTGTTATTAGGCATTCCGAACAAATTGCAAACAAAGTTGTTTGTACTTGAGTCAAATTACAAATCTGACAGCTTTAGCACAGTGAAAGGATACAGAAATTCATTGGTGTTTCTCAGGTTTTCTCTGTGTGACCTGGCTGGCTCAGAAAGATGCAACAAAACCAAGACCTTCGGAGAGAGGCTGAAGGAGGCCGGGAATATCAACAACTCGCTGCTCATTCTGGGGAAGTGCATCACTGCCCTTCGCAACAATCAGACTGACCGGTACAGTTGGCTATAAATGTGTCAGACATTTGTCACCAGTGTTTGACACAAGATGCCAATGCTTTGTAAATAACATGGCTCTCACATGGTTAGGTATTTAAAAAGTAGTACAAGTGATGGCTCTTAGTTGGAAGCAAGGCAGCAATGGCTCTTGACGATTTAGATGTTTTTGCAGGGTCAAAGTCCTCGTTTCTTCCTTCTGTTTTGTCCCATCAGAATGAAGAGCAGCTACATTCCTTTCAGAGAGAGTAAGCTCACCAAGCTCTTCCAGGCGGTTTTCTGCGGCAAAGGAAGAGCATCAATGATCGTCAACATTAACCAGTGTGCTTCCACTTATGATGAGACTCTCCATGTTATGAAATTCTCTGCTATTGCCAAACAGGTTAGTCTGAGTGAGTGCATAAGAGTGTGGGAGAAAGCTGTTTAATGAGCTGGATCAAAAATAATCTTGGTGAGCTAGCAGATCTACCATAACACCACTCATTGTACTTGCGCTGTCTGTAGGTGGTACAGGTAATCCCAGACAAGCCGCTGGAATCTCTGGCTCCTTGTTTGGTCGGCCGAGATGGCAAGCCTCTGGTGAGGAATGGGGTGATTGACAGCCAGGCCCTGGAGAGCTACCTGTCTGAGGAGGAGCTGCTTGATGAGGAAGACGAGGCTGACATGTCTTTGCTGCCACAGAATGTACAACTTCTACTCAATGTCGCATTCAAACATTGTTTCATAAATATAACATGTTTTATTTGGGATTGACGAAAGGAGAGGTCATACCCCAATTACTATTTGACATGTTTTTAGCCATTCTTGCAGAATAGATTTAGGTCAGTCAGTCAGTCTACCACTTACCTTTGGTCCAGATTGAAATATATAGATCTCAACTATTCAATTGATTACCAAACGTTTGTACAAGCATTCATTGTCCCTAGAAGAAGAGTCCGACTGACTTTAATGATCCCCCAGACTTTTAACCTCAAGACCACAATGAGGTTCACTTTTTTGGCTTTTAGTGAAATGTCTCAACTATTGAATTGCTTGCCATGAAATTTGTGCAGATGTTCATGGTGCAAAGGTGATGAAGGCTGGTGATTCCCTGACCTTTTCTATAGCGCCACCATGAAGTTGACCATTGTGGTTTTGAGCGAAACGTCGATGAGACATGTGTTTAGTATTATCATAATACAGTAGTTGGGGAATATTTCACCGTCACTCATTACAAGAAACACTGCGCGGGTTATCTCCAGTAAATGTTTTGCTTCAACTCTCATAGGAGGTTATGAATGTGATTGAAAACCTGCGAACAAAACTCCTGGCTGAGCGAAGAAGAAACCTGGTTCAGGAAATGGAGATTCGCAAGGAAATGGGAGATGCCATGTTACAACAGCTCATGGAGAGTGAGGAACTCCGCAGGTAAGTTTATATATATATATATATATATATATATATATATATATATATATATATATATATATATATATATATATATATATATATATATATATATATATATATATATATATATATATATATATATATATATATATATATATATATATATATATATATATATATATATATATATATATATATATATATATATATATATATATATATATATATATATATATATAATAATTAATTTGTTTCTCACGGAAGGCCAGTGATGCAAATCTCTGCTATTGTATGCCTACGGTCTTCATTTTTGAGAAACTAATTTGTTCATCAAATTGATACTGAACACACAAACATTTCATGAGCAATTATGTTAATTTCAGTAACATCTCCGAAAGTGTAAACCCTTGTTGGAAGTAAAATTTGGTGAATAAAGTTTGCTTTAAATGTTTAGTCGGCAGATAGAAGAACTGAAGGAAAGCTACCAAGAAAAGCTGGAGAACACATTTGAGATGTACAAGGATGTTATCAAAGAGCATGCCTACCAGTGTGCTATGAACAATCTGGAAGATGACTATGTACCTCTTGATGAGTTCATTGCTGAACAAGAGAAAGTGGAGGTATGTCATTTAATCAGTTAACAGGTCAGAAAAATCATAAGTTCTAATGGGTCTTGTTTAGTTAAGGCCTCAACCTCTACCCTGCCAGACCCAGAACTGGGTTCATTACATCTCTTAAATCCCAGTAACTTCAATTGTTAAACTGCAAATAGTCATTAGTTTTATAGTAATCTGGTATTGTCCCATGTTATGTTACTGAATTAAGCAAATCCTCCAATTTTTGGGTTATTAAAATTTCAAATTTGGCTCTTACCAACCGTGTAGGCGCTCAAACGTAAAGTTTCAGAGTTGGAGACCTTAAAGTCCAGTGACAAAGGAGGCACGTATGCAGTTCCAAAAGTGGACCAGTCGTGCCAGACTCAACCATTTAAAGGGACTGAAGCAGCAGGTTAGCACGTTTTTATTCATAGACATAGCCCAGCATCTATCTCTCTCAGGGAATGTCCTCTGGGAGCTTATTTCCTTCTCTTCATTTATGTCTTGTGTATTTTCTATTTATTAGTATGCTGTGTTGTCCTGTCTTCAGTGAGCTCACAAGAGTTGGTTCCTAACAATTATTTGGGTAAATTTCACTTTGCAAATTTTCTCCCTACAGTGGCTGATCGGTCGGATCGGCTTTACAAAGAGAAATGTGCCATAGAGAGAATGTGTGAGGATAAACAACAGGTAACAAATATAACATTTAGATTATGCATCTCAATGAAACATTTGCTCAGTCTTTTTTTTCCATTTAATGTTTTGGTTCAGTTGATTTTGTCCCTAGAGAAAAGGTTGATGGAGGTTAATGGAACACTTCAGAAGGTCAGAGATGGCTTCCTGGAGAAATCGGCTGACCTAGAGGCTCTGCAGAGGAAGGCTGATGATCAGGTGAGGCGATAAGAAATGGGGCGCGGATTTGGGAGCAGCACAATGATGATGCAAAACACCCTAAAAATGTCAAATCTACAAAACCTACTTAAAATGGCTTTACGAAAATTACAATTTGAACTGTCTGACTGGACCCAGGCATGTCAGGCAACCGTGACTTCATTTATCTTTTTTCCATCAAGATGAAGTCTATGGAGGACATCCTACAGCAGAACATTGAAAAGGACAGGGAGATTGCCTCGCTAAAGGCCGAACTTGCAAAGCTCTCCCAGAAGTCCCCTGTGCAGTCCAAAACCAAGAGAGGCCTGCTCGCCAACATCAGGGAGGCGGTAACTTCTCCACGGAAGGGTACGACGGGCCGAACACTCAGGAAAACGGTTAGGACTGTGCAACACTGAAAAGCCCAGCATCTGGACAAAAGGAGAGAGACTACTTATCTGTATTTTATTTGGTGTGTTTCTTGTGACTATTTTTTTAAATGTTTTTTGATGTGCTTTTGTTTTTTAATAAAATTGCTTAAACTTCTAGGCATGAAGTAATTTCTTACTCATTGACATCTCTTCCTCTGCTGTTTTGGATAATGTCAATTCAAAGCACCATTGGCATGTCACTTCGTGACCACAGCACACGCATATGTGGCTTCTTTTCTTGTGGCGTGCTTTTCGTATAGAAACCTTGTTATACATGCATACATGCACTGCTATAGAAATGTCACGCCAGGGAATTCATGCTCAGAACATACGCTGAACCTTACATCAACCTGGTGAAATGAGGACGACCATTATCTAGCCTCCTCTCAGTTAGTGAAAGGGCCATTGTGGTAGCGACAGCCAGCTGCTCTTCTATCTCTCTAGTCTCAGTGGTTGTTAATGAGATTAGCTGTTCGTCTTAGCCTGCCTCAGTCCAAAGGGGTCAGCCACAGGATTAACACCTTGCTTAGGGGTTACATCACTTTATTGCACTTTTTTCTTCATTGCTTTGACTTGTCCCACAAAGACAGAAGTGGGAATCTTTCAATCTCCTAAGCATGTCTGGTATAATTTAGTCATTGGAGTGGAGTATCGCAATGTATCTTGCGGCTTTGGGACGGAGCCTGTCTCAACTCTCAGCCACTGAATGAAGCATCTTCCAGGGAAAGAAGAGGACCAGGGGCAGCCAGAGGAGTGAAGGGCCACTGGGCCAAAATCTTGCCTGCTGTGGCAGAGTCTGAGACTCTGGACAAGTCATCCTCATGCCACTTGTAAACAACAAAGTGGGCGATGATTGCACGGTCGGCACAGACAAGGCTTTGCCTGATGGAAAAACTCTGGTGGATTCTTTGATAAAGGTAAGCTGCTCCGAGTATTAACTGTTTTTTGAGCCTGTGACTGTTTAGGACATAAAGAATGCTGTGGTATAATTCTGCTGTATTGTTACATTTATTCCAGTAGTTTCAGTCTGTTACTGATCTGGCCATCTAATACGTTTCTGAAAATGTAATATAAAAGAAATGACTGTATTTTAAATGCAAATATTTCTGACAAAATGGCAATTCAAGTTTGCGAAAGAATGGAAAAATGTGTTCTAAAAGGTTAAATATGTTTTGCATCAGCATTTATACCATCTAATGTTAATATTTCACAGACTAGACACACACAGGACATCTATGTACCCCCACCTCCCGCCGCCCCGTGGCAAAAAAAGCACTCTCACTGAAAAGAATTTCTTGGTCCACTGCATCTTTGTAACTGTTCCAGTATCTGTGTTAGATAATGCCATGTCCATGCCTAGCATTTCTTCTCAGTTATTGGCATGTTAGTTGTTTTAAATATGCTTTATATATGTATGTGCATGAACATATGTGTCTATTTCTGTATATATATAAATTAATACATAACAAATGCACAACAAAGTACACAAATCCAAAAAAGAATATAGCATACTGGTAGTCATCACTGTTGTTCTCCCTCCTCTCACCTATCCGCACATGCGGATGGGCCGAGTGCACAAGGTTGTTTTGGCTTATCTAGAAATAGATCACTGATAAGGAGATTATTTATAATATTTTTCATTGAAACCACACCTGCCAATCCTCCAGGGCTAAGCTAACACCTATTATGAAGACACTGTTTTACCATATGATTTAGATCATAAAACTGAAACTGTCCCATTTTAAACCTTTCCCAGTAATAGTCTAAAGCAGCATTAGGTGATACATTTTTTTTTTACAAATCCTAAATTATTTCTTCATGAAACACTGATTTTGTCTGATTTGGCTTGTTAACATTGGGTTAAAGAAATATTTAAAACTTGTGATACCTATTTTTAAGAAGTGATTAGTGGTCTACTGCATACTTGATCAGGTGATGTGCACAGCAAGGGCATGTATACTCACATTAAACAAACTGGTTGCTGTTGCAACCTTTGTTACAAATGGTACAGATTCTTGCCTCTGAAGCCTGTGGACCAGACAGTATTCAGGTCAGAGATGAAGTATAGTTGAAGTATAGCAGCCCCAAGCTACCAGGAGCTGTCTGTTATTTGCTTCTACAAGTAATCACTTCTCTGAGATATCCAGCAAGGACACTGAAACACATGAGGGCCATATTCACTCAAAGCAACTACGGAGGTGTCTTGGTTAGCAGCACATAGCTTCAGGTTATCTTAATTTTCACTAAGGCATGCATATAAACATAATTAAATCTTTTTGTTGCTTCTTTTTCCTCACACAGGTGGTGGCATGTTACCGGCACTTGGCGTCATGCGTCGGTGGGTGCACAGACAGCTTGCAGCTGCGGGATGAGCTGCGTCAAACACGAGAAAAGGCTCAAAAGTTGGCCGTGGCCATATGTCATCATCTGACCTCACATCTACGAAACAAGAGCCTGCCTGAGGAGCAGCGTAAGGAGATGGAGCTCCTCTGGGTCGCCTTCTCCTCCAGCCTAGAGCTCCTCCATGTTGACATGTGCAAAGTTTTCAACGTGGGTGACATCTTCTCTCTGGCCAACCCTAATACCATGGTGCAAACTGGCATACAAGGTAAATTAAAGCCCTTCTTGTAAATACAAGTTGAATTTCAGCAGGTAGATTAGCCAATGAAAGGTTATCAAGCAAATTATGTAAAACAAGGTTTAACATGAAACTTTGGAGATAATACAACAGAGGTAATCTGCAAAATAATTCCACTACTACTTCTACTTCTGCTAGAGATTATTTAGGTGTCATGTAAAAATGTTGTAGTGATTTTCCCCCATGCTAGGTTATTATCTACAGTATCCCAATTTGGACATTTTCACTTATTGGTGTATTGACTTTTGTTGCCAGCAGTTTAGACATTAATGGTATGTCATGTGTCATTTTGAGGGGACAGCAAATTTACACTGTTGTACACTCACTTTACATTGTTGCAAAGTGTCCTTTCTTCAGTGTTGTCACATATATTTTCAGATATTTAAAATAAATGCAAGGGGTATACTCACTTTTGTGAGATACTGTACAAGTATTACCATAAACCTCAACTAAACTTAAAAGGAACTAGATGGAGCTACTTAATTTCAGGAGGAACACTGATTGCAAATCAACTGTTGTTCTGCAAACACAATTTGAATAAAGTTCACAAAATCAGGCAATTTTTGAAACCTGATTATAAAAACACCTATTATTAAATCAGTTAATATTTTGTCAAAGTATGGTGACATGCACACTCAGTTTTATTAGGTACACCTAGCTAAAACTAAGGCAGTCTAATAAATCCTCCCTTCATGAAACTGTTTAAGAGAGGTGTTGATTCAGCTGTATGGTCATTGCAAAGGCTGCAGTTTATGGTGCTGTTGAACTGTATTGCATTACACATAGAGGTGTTTCTGTTATTTAGCCTACCCTCATCGATATAAGTGGGGTAGACAAAATAATAGAAACACATCTAAGTACAAGGCAATACAGTTCAACAGCGCCACAAACTGCAGTCTCCAAAATGAAAGTTGAATCAACACCCCTTTAAGTTTGAACCAAACAAAACATTCTAAGCATCATGAGGGATTTATTGCAGGACTGGCCGCAGTAGTTTTAGCAAGGCAACAGTTTATGAATCTGTTTTTGACAACATTAGAACCAGTTTAGTCATGTTTGACTGGATGAAAAGTGAAAAGTATTTTACAGACTGAAGTATCAATTTTAATTTTGGTAATGCAGGAGGAGGCAGTGAGGTAGCAGCCCGTGCACTGAGTCTGCCAGACCTGAATCAAGTACAGAGCCCAACCCTCCCTGCTGGTCTAGAGAGCCAGGAGCGCAGCACCATGGAGAAGGAGATCAGCCAAATTGATCACATGATCGATGACATGGAGATGAAAGTCAATGTTTTGCGCTGGATGGTGGAGCCCCGTGGGCCACAGTATGCAGACCCGCTCAGCAGCACCGACAGCACCTCCCTGGCTCTGCTGTCTGTTGATGAGGAGCAGCCTGAACATCAGCCTGAACACCAGCCTCTATGCCAGCGCAGTCAAATCTTTGTGCTCTTATTGCTCTTTGCTGTTGTTTTGGTGATAGCCACTTTATCTGTCTGTGTTGTCTTTTTCTCATGAGCAAAACCTTAATACACTCATCTTCCTGTAAAACCTGAGCAATGCTCAGGAACACAGTGAAAACTACTGCAAGTACAGTAGTTTTCTCTTTACATTGTTATCATTTTAAAATAGCTGCTACATTATCTACTAGTGCATGAGATCATTTGTCTAATAATATACTGAAATAAATCTGGATGCAAACCAGTTGCCATATACTTTAAACTATCTTTGTTAAACAAAGTGACAATAAAAATGCATGGTTGCCAGTTAGAATTAAATAATTAAAATAATTATTACAGTATGGACAGGTTTTACTCACTCAGTTGTAAAAAGATATAGCTTACAAAGATATAGTACATTCTCCTGACTAGTTTGTGATACATGAAGAGAACAATTTCTGTCAAATTTTATACCTTGTTGCCATCAAGACGACATAGGTGTCGATGCTTTGTAGTTGATATACTGTAATAAGAAGAATATCACATGGCTGAAGCTTTTTATTTTGACAGTGTTACCTTATTGTGTATATTATATGTGCTGTAGACGACTGACTATGTGTAGTTGTGCATTATAAAAGTATCAACTTTGATATGACACTGTGTTGTTGCATTCATTTTCACTGATTAGCACCTTGATATTGCACTAAAAACAAAGAATTACTCAATTACAAATATCATACATACCTCTGTATTATATTATGCACAGAAATCCCCCAAATAATTCACGCGTTAGAGGTAATATAAACTACAAGTAAATTCACATTATTTTATTTACTTAATAGAAGAGTTGAATCTTATTCCTTGTTGCCATCAAGAAGACATAGGTGTCGATGCTTTGTAGTTGATATACTGTATACCTTTAACAATAATATAATAATGTAGTTAATAGTCTAAACATAAGTTTAGAGGGAATATAACATTATTAATTTCTTAAGGGCCAGTTCGCCCAAACAACAACAAAGAGCCAGCCAATGTGATTTCTGCTGCCACCCAAATTCAATGGAGGTGCAGTGTAAACAGCATTTGTGACACACGTGAGCTTTATTTTGAAGTGCGTTACCGGACGTTTGGAAGTTTGACGTTAAAATTCATTGAGAAAAAACTAAGTGAAAAGTTGCGAGTCAAACGGCAGAGGCAGTAATACATTGTCAGGCTTTTCACAGACGGAAGCGCGGCCTGTGTGCTGGCGGAACACGAGCGTAAACAATGGCGCTCAAACAGACTCATTCGCGACTTAAAGTTGTTGGCGTTAAATCCCCAATAAAGAGGTATGACCCTGATTTTAATCAACACAGAGTTGGCGTTAGAAGTTTTGTGCCAGCGCAAGCGACCATTTCACCAACAACGTCGCGTTTGACAAGTGTCACCGCATCGCCGAGTGTCCGGGGTGTCATCCCTCCGACCTCCGAGCAGCCGCTGTGGAGAAGGAGACGAGCTACTGGAGGGAAGGCGTTACATCTTTCTGCAGTGACAAAGATGACCACAAGAGGTATAGGTTCCATGGTTTCTTAGTTTATAGCGTTAATGTGATGGCACTGTAACTAACTCAATCCATAGGCCTTATTGGAACATGTGAAAGACATAGGGTCATACATGACTAGGGGGGTCATATGATCACTTGCTGTGTCTCCTTTTTATGTGTCAAAATTAAAGTCCTCTTCAAGCCTTCCACAGTCTATGGGCCGGCTTCCCACTGGCTCAGTTAGGAGCTTGCTTGCTTCACTGCCACATATTAAATAAATGCATTAATGGGAACTGTTGAATGTTTTTGCCCAGCAATCCAACCCACTACAAACCTCCGCAGTTCCAACTCTTTGTAACCAATTTCCTTGGTTACAAACTTGTCCTTTTCTACGCTCTTATCCTGATGGTTATTGTTGTAATAGACATCATTTTGATCAAGTGATCAGTTCCCTAGATAGCTTTTCCCCTCTGAATTGCTCTGTAACTTTAGGAAAAATGTATCATGTTGGTATTTAGTTTATTGCAGCAATCAAAGAAGTTACATAGGAAGTAGGCCGACTGTATGGTAAAAAACGATAGAGTGGCAGCAAAATATGCAACATACAACAACTGTGCACTTACAAAGCTATCAGTTCTTTCACATATGAGTAAAGGAATGCCCTTTGCTTGAAAATATTACTATTCATAGCATGACATGACTGAAACTTTCACACTTCTTCTAATGTAAAATACAAAATATGAAATTTCTATATAAGCGAAAAAAAGGAAAGGAAGGGAAAAGTAGTACGTCCAGTGTCCATGTGATGCTTAATTTTTGGATAATCACCCCCGTCATTACATTGTTGGTTTCAGAGCTGAGTACCTCCATGAGAGCCTTCCAGTATGATTTGAAACCAGGATTCCCTGAAGGTGAAGGCGGGAGGCTGTTCTTTGATACACATGCAGTGGTACAGCTCTTTGAGGAAAATGGTTTGGCTGCTTTTGTTACTTACAAAATGTTTACAAAATTACTCTGCTTTGTTAAAAACGAGCTGTTGATTTTCCTTTATAAATTTCCCATTAACAGGCTTCACAACTCAGCAAGCTGAGGTGGTGGTTAAAGTACTGGTGAGGATGACAAACTCTAACATGGACGTCATCTATAATGACATGGTAACCAAAGTGCAACAGGTGAGACTGTAGGAGGTTTGTATATGTTACATTTACTGTAAATACAGTACTAAGGACAATGTCAAGTCCTGTAAAGGTCACTAAACCAAGATCATTGTGTTTAGGCCTGTCACAAAACTACTTTTGTTGGGCGATTATATCGTTCTAGAAATAATTGTGATAAATCACATTATTTTCATTTTAAGACCATTTTACACCACTGATATAATGATAATTCAAAGAGCAATGAAGTTTTTATTTATAAGAATATTCAGACATTGGATATGTCCAATATAATGTGAAAACATACAAAAACATAAATAAAATAAAACCACACAACCAAAACAAAAAATAAAATGGACTCTCGGGCTCTTAATTATTGCATTAAATAAATGTTAAACATTTGGCACATAACAGGACAAAGTCGACATTTACATTAACAGGCTCTGCTCTCTCATTCAGCTTGAACCCAAAATGTTCTGGCTGGAATCAGTAACACGTTATCTTCCGTTCACCTGGTTTTGTGTGTGTGTGTGTGTGTGTGTGTGTGTGTGTGTGTGTGTGTGTGTGTGTGTGTGTGTGTGTGTGTGTGTGTGTGTGTGTGTGTGTGTGTGTGTGTGTGTGTGTGTGTGTGTGTGTGTGTGTGTGTGTGTGTGTGTGTGTGCCTGAACCAGAAGGAGGCAGAAGGAGCCCAACCAGAAATGACAGCAAAACGTGTCTCAGCATAATTTTTTTAAATGGTGGGGAAATCCTGCTGTTTATTGTGGCATTATGTTGGAGACACATGGCTAAACTGTTGGAGACATTCTTATGTAAACAAACACGCATGTAAACACAACAAGCAATCTCAAGGTCAGCAAAAATGATCAAGGTCATAATCATATATTGGACTATAAATTGATAGTAATTATCGTGACAAGCCATTATTGTGTTGCACATTTATCAAACGGAAACACATGGTCAATCTAGTAGTCATGTGAAAGTGTAAAATAGTACAATCACCTGCACACATGTCCTTCAAATTAAATTAAAATTGGGTATACATGGGATCACCTCAGAATTTCTGAAAAAACATACATTGATTCACTGGATATGTAGCTTACCATCCATAGCATTGCAACAAAATGCCTTCAAAAGTCCACTACTGACTTTCTGGAAAACCTTTAAATCTTTTGTGTGCATGTCCTTAGCTGTGGATTAAAATAATAGCAATAATATGATCATATATTTGATATAGTGCGATGTCTGAGGAATCTGGAGTATGGGAAGAATTATATCACAAGAATTGAAACAAGTTGTTATTTTTAAACCTTTTGTGTTGGTTGTGTGATTTTTGGCAGGAGATCATGTTACAGCGTGTGATGTCTCAAATAGCGACTGTAAAGAAGGACATGATCATTCTTGAGAGGAGCGAGTTTTCTGCATTACTGGCAGAGAATGAGGTATGTGTGTTCATCAACCGTCTTAAGCTGTTTCCCAAAAGTAATTGTGATATTGCATCTGTACTCATGGTTGTTCTGGTGATCTCTGCGGTCTGTGTTTTTGATTCATATCACTTAAATTTAAATATTATAACATTTCTCCCAGAAACTCAAGATCCAGTTATTGCAGTTCAAGGTCCAACTGGCTGTAAGTGATTACTCTGCTTTGCTCAGATCAGTTTATGTCAAAGTTTTATGGAAGAATAAACATTTAGAAGCTTTTCATCATCTTTGTTTTTATTCACCAGTAGTTTTGTTGTGACCTCCCTTTGTGTATCTCTATTTCCACCTTGCAGGATGTCATGAATAAAGTGCGCTCAGACTCTATTTTGAACATGAATTTGGAGAAAAGTCGCGTAAAAGAATTGGTAAGTGTTTGAGAAAAGTAAATCACAGGATAAATTAGCGTTTGGATATCCATCAACTGTACTTTATTATTTTACTATTTATTATTATTTTTTTTCTTCTGGACTTTGCTTAAAATGACAGATACCTTGATTGCTGATACATTAAATTATTCCAACTCTGTATCTCATTGAAATCTCATTGATTGTCAGACAGTAATCCCTTACAATTAGTACGTAAACATGCTGAATTAAAGGAACGATAGATTGATCCCAACTTCTTCACAAGCAGACCAGTGATGTTTGACATTTACTACTTCATAGAAAGGTGGGACAGGGAGACACAGAAAGCTGTGGTCATGTCCTACATCGCAGTCTTTGTATTTCTCTTCTAAATAAAACATTGTTTCTCATTTACAGAAAGCAGAGCATGACAAGAAGCTTTTAGAGATGCGAACAGAGATCATGGAAATGGTTTGTATATGTGCATTACACCTACAGTACATGTTTCGTATCCTAATTACATCACATTTTTAGTTCATGGTGATCTACACAATGTACAATCACAGGGCAGAGAGTGATACAGTAGATGGTGTCCAGTCTTATTTTAGATGAACGTGATAGCCTATATATTATACTGTTGTGCAAAGTGCATTAACCTGTTCCCTACATTAATATTTGCTTTATTAAAGTACAAATGGACGCACAAAAAAGTACCAATTGTAAAGTTCTAATAATGGCTGTCTCTGATTGCTTTAACGCAAAAGCAGATAGGCCTATTCTCAGTCCATAAAAGCTTTTGCACTGTCTGTTATAAATATCAGGTAGGTCTTTGGTGGGGCTTGTCTTTAATGCCTGCGTCTTTTTTTACAGACTGCTGAGCAAGATCTTCATTTAACTCAGACCAACATGAAAATAGACACTGAAGTGGCTGGCTTGAAAACCATGCTAGAAGCTCATAAACTGGATACCATAAAATACCTTGCAGGTAGGACATAGCGCTTGTGCATGGTTGTTAGGTAGAATCAGCAGTCGTAATAGCATTGAGAATTTGGGCTGTCAAATAATTAGGCTTTATTTTAGTGGAGAAGTTTTTTTTTTTTAAGTGGGGTCTTTTGGTCAGGGACCTGAAAACTATATTGTAGCCACAAAGGCTAAAAATGCTACACGGTGTCCTTCATACATGTTAAATACAGTCGCTAGTTATACTGCACATCCTATTCATATGGGTTCAACTGGTGTAATTTAAAAATGAAAGCATTATTCATTTTAAACTTACTCAGTATATTAAAGTGCTATTTTTGAGAGCCCTAGTTTTAACTTAAATTGTGAGGAAACAGATTTTTTAACTGTTCAAAAGTAGTTCTCAAACACACAGAATACAAATAAAGTAAATAATAATATATCACTGAAGCAAGCAGACTAATGATTAATGTTAATGTTAATTAATTATTAATGTTTTTTTTCTTTTAGGTTCAGTGTTCACCTGTCTCACTGTGGTCTTGGGTTTCTATCGTATTTGGATGTAAACAGGATTATAAATATGATTTTTAGCATAATCCCTGGTAAGACTTGAACGTTCAACGCAACAGTCAGAGAACAAATGTCTTTTATGTTGGAAAGTTTGCATTATTTTTTTAAGTACAGGCTATGGAAAATTGTATCTACCACCAGATCACTGGTGGAAATTTTTGAAAAAAATTACATTTTTACTCTTAAAGGATGTAACCCCCTCAGGGCTGAAACCAGTCATTTTTTCATGCAGGAACATAGTTGATAAATGTAATAAAGTTTTAGACATTCCGGTTTTATTCAGATGGGATTTTTCCCCCCCTAAAGATAGTCCCTATTTATTAATATGGTGCGCAAATAATTAAATACTGCTGTGTTATTCAGACAATGGCATTTGAAACTGAAGTTAAACTAAAAAAATGTTATGTATTAGCTTTGTTATGTCTGTATCAGTGTGACTCTTAACCACTCCACTATATTATCACATATATCTAACTTCTATCCATCTTTCTGCTTTGGAGTTTCAGAAATGTTTTAACAGGATCCTTACATGTATGTTATTTGAATGACATCTCTGAATTGTCAATAAATATAAACTTTGTGTCTTATGTGTATCACAACTTCAGTGATGTGTATTAGTGACAGTAACAATCTTTTTTAATGATCTAAGGGGTGAACAGGGGAGAAATATGAGTTGTCCTAAGGTACAGATAAAGAATTCCAAAATAAAACTGCCAATAAGCACGTCCTTCTGTCAGTTTACCCTGGGTTTTATTTTGAAACACATGTGAACCGGAAGTGTTTGCCTTCATGTATGGTACCTCTGTAGTGAACGTTGTACTGCCGACACGTGTGTAGCTGTCAAAGAAGCGTTTATCCGTCAACAACTACTCACGACATTGAATTGTAAGTTTACATGTATGTGGTCATGCATTATAAATAATGGTTTGTAAAGATTTTTTTTAAAAAGACCTCGGGAGCCATCAGCTAGCGGCTACTAAGCTAACAGACGAGACAGAGGCAACGTTATAGTAACTTAACGTTAGATGACGCAAGTTAAGGGAACATTTGATACGACGAGTGTCGTTATCTTGTAAGAAAACACCATCAATTCCTGACACTGTAGTCAAGTGGTTGGTTACGCTTCATTCAGCCCGAGTTCCTGAATGTAACAGTATAGCCAATTGTTAGCCAATTGGGGTGGGTTTGGTGAGTAACGTTACCGTTAAATAAACTTGCCTGTAGTTTAATCAGACGTAACGTTATCTTTCGCCAGTCGAATACACCATTAAAGACATTTTAGTTATATTTACATTGGATTGGTTACCTGTCACTAGTTGATGTGCTGAAATGTAGTTTATTGTACTTTTGCAGGCGCAGTTAAATGTTTCCAGTGCAATAATGGCTGATGCGTTTAGCAGCAGCTCGGAAACGGTAATTCAGCGTGTGATAGACGTAACAGTGAAGGCAAATACCCCTCTGGAAAAACTAGAAGAGTTGTATCAGATTAAAAAGACTTGCGACTTCATCAGGGAGCGTCAATTTGAAAAGGTGAGGTTTTTACTTGTTGTCATATAAACATTTCAGTCCACTTGTATACAAAAAAATGAAAAGACAACACACTTGTTTATTTGTCTAAAATGGTAAATGTTGGCAGGTTGCTCTGCAGTTTCCTGATGAGCTGCTGGGGGATTCAGTTGCAGTATCGGCAGAGATTGAGAGAAACAGTAATGTCAAGTCGTTCATTTTGGGAGATACATCCTATGGCAGGTAACACATCAGGTTTAACTAAGAGTCTTATTTGAGTCTTATAAACTATGCACATGCCACTTGTAGTGCTTTGATTCTTCCTGCAAAGTTGGGTGAAAAGCATTGTTGTACCTTTTTATTTACAGTTATTTTATGCTTTACATGTCTTAATTTCCACAATTTGGATCTAGCATACGTTATATTTTGAATAGTTTTTGTAACACTAATTTAGTAATTGAGAATGTATTTTGGCAGTTTCATGGATTTTTTTGTGTTAATTTATTTATCATCGGCAAGTGTGATAATATGCCTCAGTACATTCACTTGTTTAACTTGAAAAATACCAGCTCTACTGTGAGTTTTATTTTTATGCTTAAGCACATAATTGTGATTTTTTTTTTTCAAGGCCATTACAAAAGAGGATGTAAGTGAAATGCTTTTAATGGTGTCAGCCATTTGTTAAATGCACAGCTGTAGTGCATTTTTGTATACATTATTAATTTTTGTTGAATTGTCTTGAACAGTTGCTGTGTGGATGAGGTAGCTGCAGAACATGTTGGAGCCGACTGCATTGTGCACTATGGCAGTGCTTGCCTCAGCCCGTCTAAAAGGCTGCCCTTGATGTATGTCTTTGAGAGAAGACCGGTTGATCTTGAGAAGTGCACTTCTGCCTTCAGAGAACTCTATCCTGACCCGCAGAGTCACATCATCATCCTCTATGATGTCAACTATGTTCACGCTATAAGTAAGCTATTCTATAAAACCCTACTGTATGCTGTTTTATCTGTTGTATGAAACTGGATTAGGGCATCATATATTTATGCCAATATATTGAGTAGATATTCATTTGTCATGTCACTTATAATGTAGTGTGTAATTCTTCATGAAAATAGGACAGCTTTAAGATGAAGATGAATGGTAGGATAGTTGTACTAGTGATGGGCAAATGAAGCTTTTGTGAAGCACTGAACCACCTAAGCAAATTGTTTCAAAAATGGGTTAATTACTTGAAGCTTCAGTTACAGTGACCTCTCCTGGCGAAGTTCAAGGCTGCAGGCAAATTAGACAGGCTAGCTGGTGGACAGGAGGCTTTTAATTACATACTTGCACGCCCCTCGATGAGCAGTGCAGGAGAAACTACTTTACTTTTGTCAAAAAGACCATTAGTTATAAAGAATCTTTGCTTTAATCACCCTTGGATTTAAAGTATATTTACTTTGAAAATTCTTTGATGCACACACATTAAGACTGAACATCATGTTTAAACAAAGATTGATGAATGCATGTATTTTGTTATTGAGGAGAGAGTGCTGGGAAATATGGCACAGGTTGGATGTGCTTGTGTAACTATGACAGGGGGTGAATGTGTTAGATGGGGTGCACAACACTCACTTTCGAGACCATCGAGGCAGTGCCAGTGAATCACGTGACTGGACCGCGAACCAGTCGGTGATTCATTCAGTAAGTGAAGCAGTTGCTGCTTTGGATGTCATATGTCACGTGATTTTTTTTTCACACCAAAGCAAGCTTTGAAGCAGTGGTTCAATAGGATTGTAGTCCAGCGGTTTGAAGCGTGTTTCGAAGCTTCAGTGTCGCACTGCCATCACTAAATTGTACTATTTTAGTTTATTTAACTATCAGCATCCTTAGTCCAAAAATATAAATTACAATCTCTAAGATCATATTTACCACATTCTCAATCAAGGCAGAAAGAAAATTGTAATCTTAATAAATGTTTTGTTTATTTTAAATGTTTTCAGGTGATCTTCAGACACTCCTTTCGCCAGAGTATCCAAACCTTGTCATCTCAGAACTTGTTGTCGAAGGGGAGCAGTGTTATAGTCACGGCCGAATTAAAAGACAACATGACACCTGTCTGCCAGAGCGAGTCAGCGGCCAGGTTATCTGTCAGTTTGGAAGGCAGTTCTCCTTGAAAAGTGGTTTAAGCATCAACGATTACAGCATGTTTTATGTAGGCCAAGAGGGAGCAACCCTGAGAAACTTCATGATGACTTGGAATCGCTGCTCGTTTAGTTCCTTTGACCCCATAACAATGATGGGGAGGACTGAGTCAATAAGTATCAACCGTGCACTGATGAAGCGATATTACGCTATAGAAAGGGCCAAAGACGCCAATGTGGTTGGCATCCTGGTTGGAACACTCGGGGTGGCAGACTACCTCACCGTCATCCAGCAGTTGAAGGAGACCATCAGCAGAGCCGGCAAGAAGAGCTATATGTTTGCCATGGGGAAACTGAACGTGCCCAAACTAGCAAACTTTATGGAAATTGACATTTTTGTGCTAATTGCATGCCCTGAGAACTCGCTGCTGGACTCAAGTGAGTTCTATAAACCTGTAGTAACACCATTTGAGATGGAGGTGGCCTGCAACAAGAAGAGGGAGTGGTCAGAGGAATATGTCACAGACTTTCGACAACTCCTGCCAGGTAAGACTGGGATTTTTTTTTAAATCAACTTCTCAACTTTTTTATATTAAGAGAATGGGGTTTTAATTTTTATGTATAGCCTTTCCTTGCAGGAACAATCAAAGGATCAAATAGTTGCAAATGATGGCTTTAGTGTGTCATATGCAGAGGACAACAAATCTGTGATGATTAAATGTTGTAATTCCCGAAAATTACATACATATTGAATTGGTGATTATTAACACCAGTTTTGTATAATTGTTTAATCATATACCTGACGATATGCCTGACTTTATGCAAGTGTACTGAGAAGAATTGATGCTACCATGAAGGTGAAGGGGGGGTCACACCAAATATTGATTAGATTTAGATTTTTCTTTTGCTCACTCACTTTGCATTTTGTTAATTGGTAAATATAATCTATTTTTGAAAGCATTCTTACTTTACAGCATTTTTTCCACACCCGCCTAAAACCTTTGCACAGTACTGTATGTCAAGTTTGTTTACATTATAATCCAAGTTCAGATGTTTATGTAAGCTTTATTAAAAAATAGAAATGGCTGGGTTATGTTCGCCATAGATTTGGAAATTTCTAATTCCATTAAGAAATGTTATATGTTTTAAAGTAGATTACACCATCTTAAATTTTTTATGCTTTTCCTGTTTTAGTTATTAATGGTGAAACGATTTGTACCAACATTAGGAGATATTAGGTTGAGGGTTTTTTTTCTGAGTCAAGGGGAAGGTCCAGAGAAACTAGAAATATTGAAAAGTGAAATATAAGATTCAATTGAAGGCTATTGAAATCTTTTGCTACATCAAAATGATATTACTTTTTATCTCAAACTTTTACCAGGTGGACAGAGTCATGTGCCTTTGGCTGATCAGCAGGAGGAGGGCAGTGAGACTGACGTGTCTTTAATCACAGGAGCTCTGCGACGGCAGAATCTGTTAATCAGTGAGCCTGCAGAGTCCTCGTGTGGCTCTTCTGTGGTCCTCAGGAACCAGACGCTGACTGTAGCCAACACCAACTCAGCTGGTATAAGAATATAAAAATTCTGCTGTACATAAGACACAGCTTTAATTTCAATCCATAGATTTATTGCAGAATTTTGCTCACATACAGTAATTCTAACTGAAAATAACTACAAAAAAAAAAAAACACACTTGTTACAGTTTTACACAAAAAACACTCTTACGCATGTCTTGTATTACATTACACATATATGCTTTCTCTTCTCAGCATCTTTCCTGGCAGTACGGAGCTGGCGTGGCTTAGAGCAGAAGTTGGGAGAGACACCTGTGGTGAAGGCAGTAAAGGGCGTGCGAGGCCTACCTATTGCTTATGAAGAGGAAGGAACATCTTCGTGATAATTTACCAGCAAATCTGCAAGGTCTCCAACACTGTATTTAATCATGGCTGCCTGCAGTTACAGATATTACATTTATATTGCTTCTAATAACTGGAAGCTGTAAACAATAATTAAATGTTTTCATATACAACCAGATATCACTTGTTTTTATTTTTGTGTTACTTACTAAATCACAAAATGTAACCTGTTATTGATTCCTAATCAATTTAGTTATATTTTATATTATATAAAATACTTATATTTTATTATACATGACCACTTTTCAACTTTGGCCACATAACTGGCTTTAGTAGCTTTTCTGTTTACATTTATTCAGGAACTTCTTCCACAAAGGATGCTGGAAATATACCGGTATTCCCATCACATTGCCCCTCCAACCAATCCTTGTTGACTAAAGAAAAATAAGAAATGATTAGTTAGAATCATATTTCTTGGACAGTGTTAATAAATATATGGCACAAATAGTAGAGTCTTACTTCTAGAGATTAATGTTATTGTTTCGCCTTCTTCGAAATTGAGATCCTCTGGGTTTGACGACTTGTAGGAATGAAGTGCAACCAAGTGAGTCTTATTCTCATTCTCTGGCTTTCCGTCAGTTTGCTAGAAACACATGACGCACACAAATACTGATTTCCTACTCAATTTCACACTCTGCTGATTACAATGATTGTGAACAAAAAGTTAAAAAATGTACATCAAATAAAGTGAATTTGTTGAGTTAGAGGCTGCAGAGATGGCTGATTGATGCATAGATATTTAGCTATAGCTACCTTATTTCTGTATCAGTGAGGAAGATGTTGGAGTAAAAAATAGATTAATCACTCTAGTATGGTACAACAGATGTTATCAAGTCAAATTCTGGTTGATCTGATCACCTATGTACTTATTGCATTTGGACTTTGCTCCACTTACCTCTTTGGTGTTACACCATAAGGTGATGCGCCTGCCGCTGGCACAACTCCACACATTTTCCATTTCTGTGTTTGCATTGATTACAATTTGTCCAGTTGCCTCTGAGTTTATACTAAATTGAACAAAAGGATTGAATTTTGCTCTCCATCAGTGACAAAATATAACAATTAAACTGGAAGCTGTGCAAATGTTTCAAATGTGCACTGTACCTCAAGGTGATTGCAGTAGAAGGCAGATGCAGTTTCTTACTGATTTTCTCAATCAGTATGGCGTAGGGTGACCCAGGTGGTACTGAGACAGCAAAGTTGAATGTGAAACGTACTTTGACAATACATGAATTGTCGGTAGACTGTGTATCCTGGCATTAATGAAAGAAAACATTGGTGGAATTAAGCTGTGACAGAAATCACAAAACACTCTTAACTTCTAATTTTGTATCATTCATCGGCAGGACTGTAAAAATTTGACTCAGCATACCTTTCGTTGGAGGTCTCCACTGCTATCACTAGGAGTAAGACCTTAAAACAAAAAGGTTTGTTATGTAGGACAAAGTGTATTTGTGAATACTTTCTCTTGTGTTACATTTGTTATGGTCAAATGCAGTGGTATTTAGCACCAATCAGAGAATGGTGCCTGTTGTTATTTTAGCTTGCTTAAAGCTGGAGTAGGTAATGTCAGAAGACTAGCCAGACACTAGAGACACTAGATTATGAAAGCATCCAACTGAAAAAATCCAACCCCCACTCCCTCAAAAACATATTTTCATGTGCAATAAGAGCACGGGCAGAGTACACTCAGGCTTCTGAAATAAATTGCCCACCCTAGCTTAAATTGTGTGTAGAAGTCTACCTGGTTTCCTTTCAGGTCTGGTCGGCGCCTTTCGAGTCGGAGGCTCAGATTTTCCCTGTTGATGGGTAATGGCCTTTGAAATAATGCCATTTCAATTACAGACAAAATAAATAATTCTCATAAATAAATAAAAAGTTCTCATTGCAGCATACTACAAAACTTCAAATAAATACCATATTTCATCAAGTGCCATTTTAGAAACCTGAGCATGTTTAGAAAATAAAAAGAAGACTACTGATGATGTATTTAACAAACATTTTAAAGTCTCAGAAACTACTGGAGCCTACAGGACCTCTATTTAGAAATACTAAGAAGCAATTTACAAAACAAGAAATTATTAATTTTCCTATAATGGCTGGACATTAACAATATTACAGCATTGTACTATACCACCAAGAAAGTAATGTAATAAAATAAATAAAAATTAGAGAGAAGAAAGTTAATTCCTTACCTCATTCTGTTTAGAAGCCATGGAGATCTCCAAACGTTCCAGGTAATTGTAAGGAACAAGTCCCTTCTATAATTAACATGATGATGATGAATACTCTTAATTGACTTAAACATTAAATGAATTCTCTTATTACATGACATGAATATTGGTTTCTACGCATATTTCATAAACATAATTGTAGGTCTTGCACAAGCATAGAAGTTGCAGGTGCAGATTCTGAACGTTGTGGTCTTACTCTTCCATTGAAGATCACAGATGCCCAGTTGTCAGCACCCTTCTGGAGTACAAACACAATATTGCCTGGCACTACAGCCAACTCATCACTGGTCTCAGGATCAAACTCAAACAGGACAGTGTGGGGTTCTCCTTCTAAAGCTCTGTGAAAACAAGAGACAACCACATGGCATTAAGAGACCTGCTGGTGAGGAAGTACACACACTAGTCTTGATTATTACTGTGCTACATTTATATCCTGCTGTTCGATTGTTCACATTTACACCGATTCAACATTTTCCCTTTATGAAAGTATAACATTTCATAGATTACATAGCCACACACTACAGAGCCAGTCAGTCTGTCAGTAATGAAACAAAATAAATATAATCTCGACGTTGGGTTACCTAACAAACTGACAACAGTGCATCATTATCCAGACAGCTGCGTCAGTCGACCAAGCAGGCAGAGAGGAGAGACCGAGTCTGACCTACTGTTTTGGAGAATCCCTGGCTGTCTCCTTTGGCTTACTTTTACTTCCTTTGGATCAGAAATGGACCTTATTGTGACCTGGGGAAAACTGTGTCATAGTACCCTTAAATTCCTTCACACTTTTTGTGTGTGATTTCGTGTGTGGATTTTTCTATTTTACATATTCCATTAAGTAATTTGCAACAACAACAAATATTTTTCAACATCACTACTAACTAAATTTAATTGAATATACATATAGAGAGTGTCAAGTGTCTACAACTTCAGGGTGACTATTCTACCTTAGAACCTCAGGTTCTTTAGGAAGAATTGGACCATCTTCAACCTGTAAGAAACAAAAACACAAAGCATCCAATCAGTGGTGCTGGAAAAGCTTTCAAATGAAGCTGTTCCTGACATGGTGCAGTACAGCATCACAGCAATAGTCTTTTAGTTAAAAAAATAAAACCAAATAAAAATTATTCATGACATGGTAAAGTGTGGTATTACATTATGGTAAGCTAGGGCAGAAAATTTAATTAATCCCTAGATATAATTCAGCTTGTGATACATGAATGTTTCATTGGATTATAGTCACCAGTACAAGCTGATCATGACTAGTGTAGTTCCTTGTAAGTTTTTAAAATTTTCAATATAATATATATTTGATGTAATGTGAGCTAATAATAACACACTTGTCACCATATTATATTATTTTTTGTTTTTTTTATTGCCAAAGAGGAGCCCATATGTCACCTGTGGCTGTAAAGGGGCAAATCCTGAGAAGGCATCCTGAGGAACGACAGAGGCAACAACCTGATGATAACAGAGAAATAAATGTGCAATATGTCAAATAAATATAGTGTTTTCTCAAAAATGATCTCAAAAATAAATTTCTCTTTAAAAAGAAAAAGTACTCAAAGATATGATATTTTAGTGAATTGTGCTCCGGTTAATTAGTCAGTAATCAGTTTAGTAATGGAACTGTTACTCAGGTTCAGGTAAATGTCATTAGATAAAGTATTACCTTCGCTTTGCCAAGGTAGTCCTTCTTTTCCAGCTCAGCAACATAGTGCTTATTTGGTTTAAATAGCACTTTTGATGGGAACTCGACTGGTTTGAAAATTTTCTGTTTCTGTTGGTGAAATTGCATTGCAAGGGATCATATAATAAGCATTTCTGACATGAAAGTACATTCTAATTCAATGGAGAATACCTTTGCTAATAAACAGAGTGTTACTTTGAGCTATACACCAATGTAAATAAAAGCCCTCTTCATGCCTTACCCTTGACCCTTCATTGATTAGATTGATATTTGTGTAAATAAATTTAAGGCTTTTAGTAATGCAGTGGAGTCTGTCTGGGTCAAATTGACCATTATAAGCGGATGATTATTATAACCAAATTTATTTTCTTTATTTCTCATTCAGATTATCATCTAATTGACATTTATATAGACTTTTTATTACATGGATGTAAACCAAAATGCAGTGCTATTTACTGAACATTTTGACTGTTTGAAAATTCAGTAGTTTCAAACACAGTAATTACAGTACTGTAGGCCATACAAAATATGGTTTACTGTAGTTCAAAATTAAAATTAAGCTCCAGCCTAAAAGATGCTGTTTACAAACGCAGTAACATCAGTTGTGCAAGTCGGCCACTGCTTGGCGGGGGTTTCAGTGCATTTCTAAATTTTTAACAGGCCTTAAAATAAACTGCAGGATATCAATGCTGAACTGGTAGCAGAGTTTAAAAACACAAGTATTCATAAAATAGTAAAGTTTTTCCCCATATGTTGTTATGTATGAAAAGTCCTGTAACTGTGATCACTATAAGACTTTAATGGTTACTGGCTGTGAAGCAATGCTATATTAAAAAGCCTTGTGGGTGGGTGCATTCCACCCACATGTTAACTGACCAGGGTGGATTGCAGAGCTTTGTCGATGATATTGAGCTTGACGTCTGTCTTGTAGTCGAGAGCCTTCACAAGGTGTTCCTGAGCCTTTTCCCAGTTACCCAGCTGAGCCTCAGCCAGAGCCATATTGTGGAGAATCTGTGGCAGGAAACATTGATATTGTATTTACTTGCCACTATTTTAATCCCTCATGCAGGCCACATAAAAATAATGCCTAAGCCTCTGTTATTAGGAGGTTGGGTTCAAAGAGAAAATGAATGTACTCCACGTCTATAAACTGTAAAGAAAAATAGTCTTAAGCAGAGTAATAATATGTAACTGACGTAATGAAGCTTTACAATAACATTAAAAAATGATTGGAGGCTTTTAAATACTTACCTCACATGCATATAACTTGTATCTGAGACCAAGTGCTTTGTAATCTATCAGCTGGTTGCCTCTTAGTCTTTTGAAGGCATGCTGGAAATCAGCTAAACTCTCCTCATACCTTTGAATATAAACAATTCAGTTATTTACTTTTGCATAATAGACCAAAATAAAATGTAGAAATAAGAGAGAGTGGTGATTAGAAATCAAATTTTATGATAACAAAAGCACAGTGTGTCTAGTATACAGTGTTTTTAAATCACAATGTTAAACGTGAAAAATTAGTGTGGCCATTTAATTGAGATGACTGGTGTGCCTTGCCTCTTCTTTCTGTAAAACGTGATTCCTCTTTGAAAGAAGGCAACAGCCAAATGCTCGTCCTTGCGTATGCTGCAATCAAATGCCTGAGAAACAAGAATCACAAAAAACACTGTAACTTCCTCTAGTAGAAAAGAGAATCGGTAAACTACTTCTTCTTTCTCAGTGACTTGCACTTTCGGACTACAAAATATTACGGCATTTCATCTAAGCTTTATCAGCCACATCTTAAGAAGATTTTACTTTTTGATTAATGATGTTATGAAATAAATAGGAGTGGATATTTGTGTGTAATGTTTTACATACCTTTTCAGCATCATCCAGGTTTTGGTTAAGAAGATGGAGACAGCCAATGTCAAAACAAATTTTGGAGTTTGGTTCTTGGATAGACAGGAAAATCCTGAGTGCTTCTGTCAAATCCTGTCTGTCAACACAAGTTACAGCCTCGTCCCAAAGGCGCAGAGTGTCCAGAAAAGACATGGTCGCAGTTAAGAGTACACTGAGCTACAGACTAAATTGAGGAAGCTCTTCTGATTTGTATCAGGGAGATCAGGAAGTGCAATGACAGTGTCATTGTTGGCACATTTATGTCCACACCGCTGCCAGGCTAAGGCCCAATGGCTGTTGCTTCCCCCCTCCCATGTGATTCTTTGACATCTATGTAGCAATCATAGACTGTTTATAAAAAGGTAGCAATTCAGTGTTTATGTGTGCTGTATACTTTCCCATATCACTTTCTGCCCCATATACATCATAAATGGGGTACATTAATATTTACCCCAATGTAAGTATGTTTTTAAGAAGGATGTAGGGGGGTGATGGGGTGCTGACATAAAGAAAGTGCAATAAGGAGCAGAATTAGAAGGACATAGATAAGCAATGGGAAATTGGTAGAGCGTTTTCGTCATGATGATTTACAAGCCTCACATCTGGAGAACCAGGACGAGTTTTATTTTGTAATAAGCTGCCTTTAGTCGACTCTTTCAGTTATCAGCGTCACTGCCACGCATAGCTGCCATGCTTCCTCAACTTCCGGTAAAAACCGTAACCTGTAGGAAAAGATAAATACAAATACAAACCATCATATGTGAATAGCCAATGAACCATTAGCAAATACTATGAACTCTCCCGCACAATACCTTACTCAATATTGTATGGCAAATTTCACGAAGAAAGTATGACTTGTTTTGTGCTGCTCTCTATATTGTGTACCCCAAAGTAAATAATGCTCTTATTTTAAAAGAAACTAATACGTATTTCCGCTCTTCGTGAGGTCAACTCTAACCCAGACTAGTTACCCTGATGCAGCCGTCGCTAGCTAAACAAACATGTTACCGATATATTATCAGACAACGAACTTAATGATACGTAGACAAATGAAAAGGGGAATATGCGACGATTAATAAGAAACGTGCCAAGTCTAAAGCTGTAGATGTAGAGCTGATATATTAAGTTGGTTAATGTAGTGTAGCCCTTTGTGACCGTGTTTACACATTTCTGGCTTTCAGTTTGCTTATGTAAGCTAGCAAAATGGACCTTGGAACAATGTTGTACAACAATTTGAAAGATGTTACATGGAGCACGACGTCCTTACCATTAGATCAACTTGTCAGTGCTTATAGGTTGCCTCAAATTGTCAAGCTGGATAACGGTTAGTAACTTTGTGTTATTACTTGGTTTTCTTTTGCTAGCTGCTAATTTGCTAGTTAGCAGCTATTTTGTCATGGTATGGTGTTATTTCTCTGCACTGCCAAAAGCTTATTTAATGCCAGTTTAATGCACAAAAAAGTTATCAGAAAATTGTCTAACGTTAGTAACCATTAAAAACTTATCATTTTCTAATGTTTACAGTTGCGTCTCTTTCGTTAAGCTGTTGCCATTGAAGTTGAGGGTGTAAGTTAGAATAAAAACAACCATTTGGTATTTTCTGCTAGGGACAACATATAAACGCATCAGAAGGTGCAACACAGTGATTACCTGAAAATGTGTGCATATCATTATTAAGGCCCATGTGCAGCATAGCGCCATTTTTAACATGTGAATGAAAAAAACAAATATTTGGGAACATTGGAAGAGTCATTTAAACAAAACAATAGGAGATGACCCTAGAACAAAACTTCAGATGACTGTATAATGGGCTTAGGGAATTTACTTCCACAATAGCTGTTTTGCCTGACACTTGTATACTAACATTATCATGATTTATGGTATGCACTTTGAAATAAAGGCATTATGGAATCAGGATTAATTATTATTTTGTTCTCTTGCTTGCCGTCTTCTGTCACACTCTGCTAAGCCTCGCATGCAGAATTGTAATGGTGGATTGTACTTTGAAATGGTAGCGCTTGCTTTTTAGAGAGGTATGGATTGGGGCATTAGTCACTGTCCATGGAGGATAATGATTTGTGCATAGTAGATCAATATGTTGGCTGGAGTGGTGAAGTTTACAAGTTGTTTAAAAAAAAAAAGGCATTCCTCGGGATACTTACTCACAACAATCATTATATTAATCATTATAAATAAATTTCAATGGTACCATGACCCATTATAGACACCACCGTGTGTAGTCAGGGTAATTAATAAAGTAAATGCCAAAACACAGTTACTAGATGTAACACAATCTTTGTGTCTGAGATATGCTTTATATTTCAATAAGGACATATGTCATGATGCAAAAGTTGCATGGTGTTACATGACTGTTGTTGATGTTTTTTGACAGTTAAGATTTTGATTGGACAGCAAGAACACCAGACATTATTCTGAACGTTTGTTATATTTAGTGTTGCACCTTGCAGTATTTCCTTGTTTGTAAGGTATAATCTTTGTTCTGCTTGTTGATTTCATACCTGCAGGTCAGTTGGTTGAAGGGCTCAGAGACAATGACTACCTCTTGATTCATTCCTGCCGTCAGTGGACGACTATCACTGCTCACAGTCTGGAGGAGGGACACTATGTCATTGGGCCCAAAATAGAGATCCCTGTGCACTATGAAGGTGAGTTGTTTCCGCATGGATGATGCTCTTGAATTAGCTTGAATTAGCTATGCCTTTTGATGATGTATCTTTGTATTTAAACTAAGAAAGTCAGGTGCTTCAGCTGACCACATGGGATCTGAATTAGGGGCTCCTTGAATGATGATTGGAATCTTTGATGTCTGTAGCCCTAAAAAATACACAAGACATTTTGAGAGGAGTTTTGGTGTAAAAGTACAACCCATGCTTGACCCTGTCTGTTGCATTGATATGTCTTTTCCTACTTCAGGTCAGTTTAAGCTACTGGAGCAGGACAGAGATGTCAAGGAACCTGTGCAGTACTTCAACAGCGTGGAGGAGGTGGCCAAAGCGTTCCCCGAGAGGGTGTACGTCATGGAGGAAATCACTTTCAATGTTAAGGTACTTCTAATCTGTCCGGTGGACCACCGTGGGTCCTATTTTGGAAAAATAATGTACGGTTGTCAATGGCAAAAGACAACCCCGGTAGAATTGTGCCCTGAATTACACAGATGATGTTTATCATTTTAAAATATACATTTGAAAGTCAAGAAAATCGCACTTTGTTGTAAAACTGTTGAGGTATAAGACTGTGAAAATACATAATTACAAAGGACACAAACCCAAAAGATGCATATGTGACTTCGTAACCTTTTCTCTCTATGAGGGAAGCTAGCGTCAGAGAACTTACATGTGTAGATGATGTGATAAAAGTACAAACAGTTATTAGATTAAACACATCAGGTGAGATATATTTCTGTGTGGAACAAAGCTAAAATAGACTTTATTTCTTTGTTGGGGTCAAGTTTTACTTTGAGCTTCTTCTCAGACATTAAAGAAAAACTATTAATAATATTTATAAAACAAAGACAAAATCTAAACAGAAAGCAATTGCTGATGCGTTAACGTAGAGTTTACTGACAGGGTTTGTACTTGAAAACTATGAAACTATGAAAATCACAGGGTGGAAATGCTCTCCTTAATTTCTTCATGACTTAGGTCGTATGTCATGTTTTCACAGATGGCTTCGGGTGAATGCAATGAAGACACTGAAGTTTACAACATTACACTAAGCACCGGTGATGAACTGACATTAATGGGCCAGGCTGAGATCCTATATGCCAAGACTTCCAAAGAAAAATCAAGATTCAACACTATTTTTAAGAAGATTGGGAAGCTAAACTCCATCAGTAAAATTGGTCGGGGCAAGATGCCCTGCTTGATTTGCATGAACCATCGCACCAATGAGAGCATCAGCCTGCCTTTCCAGTGCAAAGGCCGGTTCAGCACCTGTAGTCCACTGGAGCTTCAGATGCAGGATGGCGAGCACACCATCAGGAACATTGTGGAGAAAACCCGCCTCCCGGTCAATGTCACTGTACCCAGCAGTCCACCCCGCAACCAGCACGACCTCCACCTCATCCGTGAGGGTCATCGCTACAAATTGGTCAACATTCAGACGAAAACAGTGGTTGTGTGCTTAATTCTGCGGAGCAACAAAATTATCCCCATCCATTTTCCATTTCATATGGCCATGCCTAGATTTATTATTCCAGAGGAACTGCTGCAGGGAGAGTTGTGGCTAGACACTATGGTACATCGCTGGTTCTCTTTCTGCCAGGAGCAGTTTGACATAGACGACTATTCTCGTGCCGTCCGGGATGTGCGGACAGACTGGAACGACGATGGCAAGAGCCCTAAGAAAAGCAGTGGGAATGGTAGTTGCAGTGGAAGCAGCGGAGGCAGCAGCAGCTCCAACGGGTGTCTCAACCACATGCAGATTCCCAGCTCTTTAACTTACGCCCGGGATGAACTCACCCAGTCCTTCCACCGACTATCTGTGTGTGTGTACGGCAGCAACCTGCACGGTAACAGCGAGGTCAATTTGCAAGGCTGTATGACACTCTGTGGAGATTGGGCTCTTCTGCCCTCCGATAGCATCCCTGCAGACTCAGGAGAAAGTGAACACTTTTTCCCCGAGCTGTTGGATTGCACAAACCAACAACCAGCCCTCAACAAGTCAGACGTTCCCTATGAGGAGCTGTGGTTGGATCACTTGAGAGGTCAGATCCCAAAACCTTCTTTAAGCGAGGGAATTCGAGGCATCAACAATGGCTGTGGTACAACAGCTGCCCTGTCATATCCGGTCACTTGTCCTCTTGGTGCAATAACCAGTTCAGATGTGGCTCTTACTCCACCACCAGTCCCACCCAAGTCTGAAGCAGTGAGTATAATCTATTATACTGTATGTAAGTTGTAACCCTTAAGATTTCAGTTTTGTTTGATTTGGCAACACCTGCAGATGCAGTTTAATATTACAGCAAAGTTGGTTACCTTGCAGATTAGTTGGAGGTGTGAAGACTGCCACCTGGTTCTCTTCATTGAACAGTTCACTCTGGGTGTTCCTTCTTGTTGTACTACTCTTAAAAGTGATCCGCTGATGAAAACAGTGTCAGAAATGACTTATGATATTGTATGGACGCATTTTTGATGAAAGGTTGCTGTTTGTTGTGCTAGACCTTGTGACAAATGCATTGCCTTTCTTGTGGCTGCAGCCCATGTTTCGCCACTAGAAAGCTTTTAATGTCAAGTGGGGGTGATGGCACAATGGATAAGACGCCTGCCTTTGGTGTGAGAGAGTCAATCCCCCACTGTGACCCATCCACCATTGTGTCCCTGAGCAAGACACTTAACCCCTAGTTGTGTGCGACCTCTTACATGTATAGCAATTGTAAGTCACTTTGGATAAAAGCGTCAGCTAAAATTAATAAATGTCAAGCAGCAGCAATAGGATGTTGCGTTTGTAATATCCCATATTATGCAAAATGCACTTTTTCATGTCTTTTCAACATAAATGTGTCCCCAGTGTAAGGCTGCAACTAATGACTATTTTGATAGTCATCGAGTCCTATCACAGACGATAATAGACTGTGCGCTGCACTCATCTGTGCAGCTGATCGGCTGTTACCAAGGCATATCATTTATCTAATGATAGTAGCTTACATGCTGGTACTGCAACACAGACTGACACAGTATTTTTATACAAAGAAATGTATTACATTTGCTGAATATACAAGAGTGGAAAATGATAACAAATTTGTGGTAGATGGCGTTTCACAAAGTTTATATAATTTCCCCTAACTCAACAACTCACAAAACTCCATGTTTTTTTTTACGGAGTCTATTGCAAATTAGCTGCCACCTCAAATTACTCGTGCAGGTTTGGAGGACAGAGATCCGATTTCAATGAGGATTACAAAAACGCATTAAAGATAGACAAAAGAAGTGTTTGCCATTAGAAATTATGAAATTGTGTTCTCTAATCTTGTGCACTCGGCAGCAACACGACCTGCAGCTCAAAAGCTTTTTGTCTGAGTTTAGAGTTAAATGCTCGCACACTTCGGAAGTTTTAGGTCGTTAAAGAGACAGGAACTAAAAGTGTTCAGACAGAGGGTGAATAGAGCTGAAGCAATGTACAGTATGAAAAACAAAAGAAAAAAAAAACGTTTTTTGAACATTAAAGCATAGAAATTATTTATATATATATATATATATATATATATATATATATATATATCCCATATAACATATATCCCAAACTAAAAGTATGAACCTGAAAATGAGCGTAATATGGGACTATTATTACAGCTCTGGCGAGGTTTGAGGAGAGTAAACTGTGAGGTTGTCTGAATGCGAGAAGATTGCACTGGATTTCATGGCTACATTGTTTTCCTGTGAATCCCTCGTGCTAGGAGGCTATCTGAATCCAGCACTGGAATTGCAGTGTCAACCCCTAAAATAAAAACTACTATATAGACAGATGATAACTGAATTTAACTTAGACTGGCTATTGCACATAAAACGCAGTCCATAAAAAGTAAATAAATTGGGTTTGATGTAATGAAATTCTAAAGGGTTAAGCAGTAACTTTAAGCAGTGTCTTAACACCTCATATGTTGGTTTTACTGTCACTTTCAGTGTCCATGTATTTCTTTTGTAGGTGAAGGAAGAATGCCGTCTTTTGAATGCCCCACCTATTCCTCCACGAAGTTTGAAACAGATGCCATCAGTGCCCATCCTGTCAAAGCCACGGCAGCAAGAGACCCGGTCTCCAAGTCCAACCCTCTCCTATTATTCTTCTGGTCTCCACAACATGTAAGAATTGTAACAATTTCATACCACTCACCAATTACACATAACTAAAATAATAGGTAAGATCAAAGCACGAGAATAGAAAAACAGGAGCTATTAAATTCAAGGAGTTTCTAAGTGAATTAAAATTAAATAACTTGTCAGTGAGGTGAAAAGGTGCCACACTCGCATTTAAAGAGGTTACTTCTACAAACAAAAGTCACAAAAGAGTAGGGAAGACTAAATTTATCCCTGCATGTGTGCTGACTCAGCAGGGATCATATTAAATGAGAAAAGTTGATCTACAGGAGAAACTAGATCTGAAAGCAATACAAAATGCTTGAGAGCCTTACTGCATTATATTCTGTTATATTTTTTTACATTTTGAATTGTCATCTGCCACCTGAATTTTGTGTTTCCCTTTACATAAATAAAAATATTTCCAGCATAGATTGATGCATATGTTGATTGATATGTTTAATGCAAAAAAAATCATGTAATTCAGCACTGAAGATTTCTTCAGTGTTAAAATCTCGTCTTGTTCTCGTAAACTCAATATCGTGTCTCGTCTCATGAGCTACGTGTCTTGTCACACACCTATTAAATTATATTTGCTTTGGGAAAAGTGGGGTTGTATAAATTCAGACATTTTATTTATGCTGACATTTCATAGACCCAGACAATCATGTCGTCATTGTATTTTTTCATCTTCTGTTCAACTACTCCCTGAAATTCATGTAGTTGTTTTGTTTGTTCCTGTCGATTTAGCTGTGTCCCTTTAAATATTTTATCTGGACGGTTTTTCATGACACATTTTAGTGCAGTTAAAAAGTAATGTGTCAGCACATTGAAGTTTTTCCATTCTTTTCTTCACTCGCAATCTGTATCAGCTGTCAAAAAAAGTTTTTGTTTAAAATGTTAAATATTGATGAGGTCTACATGATGTTTGCTCTTATACCACAAATTAATTTTATATTTTTCCATCAGTAGTGGAGCATGTGAGCAAGAGGCGGCCGAACCACAAGAGCAAAGTGGCGTGTGTTACCCCTGTAACTGGGGTAAATCCAACAGTACTGAGCCAAATGCTGTGTCGCCCAGTGGTAGCCTGCCATCGGATGGGATGTCCTCCAGGTTGTCGTGGCCAAATAACTTCAGTGGAGGAGAATTGTACGGCATGGAGGAATTTCAGCCAGCCAGCTGTCGAAGCTACTACAGTTATCCCAGAAAGAGATCCCCGAGCACTCCAAAAACCTGTACATCCAGCCTTGTTGACTTCGATGGTCGAGAGCACGCACCCAGCAGCAAGGACTTCAGGTTGCAGAAAGCTTCTCTGAATCAGTTCTGCACCAAATCTTCAAGTTACAATTCAGAAATGTACAGAGACAAGCCAATAGAAGAATCTAACACTAAGCAGAGCCTCTCGTGCCCAATCTTACCACCAAGAACACCGAAATCGAATGCCATAGATAAGTTCACAGATTTGCTGGCAGGATCAATCTGTGATAGTGAGCAGGAAAGTTCATATTGCTCACTTGATCAACATGAGCAGGGCACAAAAGAGATGTATTGCATCTCTGACTCATTAACTCCCAGCTGTCCATCCTTTTCTCCCACTGCACAGTGGCAGCCCCCGTCCAGTCTGGCTGGTCTTTCTATTGAGGAGGTGTCTAAATCTCTAAGGTTTATTGGCCTGCCAGATGACATTGTTTCTCTTTTTGTGTCTGAGAAGATTGACGGGAATTTACTCCTGCAGCTCACTGAGGAGATTCTGTCTGAGGACTTTAAGCTAAGCAAACTGCAGGTGAAGAAACTCATGCAGTTCATAAATGGGTGGAGACCCAAGATATAACTAACAGTATATGACACTAAACCCTGTTATAAAGCAGAGAAAGACATGCCTTCAGTATATATGCTATGCACACCAAGCCACAAAGATTTTTTTTGTATAATATGAATTTATGTCCTTGTTACTATATGGGGGGGGGGGGATAGTTGGGTGATATTTCTCAGCCCACTTAAAATCTGTGACTGTTATTTACTTACTAAGTGGAATCATTTGGCACTTTCATGTCGGCTACAAAAGTACCTTTTTGCCCAAAGCCTACTAGTGTTCATGTTGTTACACAAATTCTAATTTCAGCCAAAAAACAATGGAAAACATGTGATCTGCTTGATGAGAACATTGTATGAAGAGCACAAAAACTAGAGCATGGACTATTGTATATGTTGATTATATACCACATGAAAAAACAATGTAAAAAAACAGTTTGATTTTACAGTGGAGACGCAGGTGGACATTTAGTTAAAGTGTTTAATAATAATAGGCTTACATCCCAGGAATTCAATTACATGGCGTATGCAGTGTTTTTAGTTTTTAATTAATTAATTAATTTGTTCCCTTTTCACACGATCAGGGATGTGATAGATGTTGCAGCAAGTGCATTTCTGAACATGAATCAAAACAGACATAACCGGCATCAAGACATGCTTGTGTTCTTTTAAAAAATCTACCCTTTTGAGCTTCCTCAGCTTGATCTGATGCGTCTGATGTACAGCTCATTAGAAAATTAATTGGAAAAATGAGACGAGAGCTGTGACATTATTGAATATGATTTTATTTTACCGCTCTAAGTAGATGATGAAGTCCTTTTTGAAGACAGGCATTTTGGATAAAAACAAAAACATCAGCAGGTGTCAGTCTGATATCAGGTAAAAGTGAGCCAGATCAAACGATTATTATGGTCTCTCGTGTAACAAGATGTCGTATTTGTCAACTCTCCTCATCAAGGTCTTATTTTTATTTGATGCCTCTCGGCAACATCTAAAACGTTGCCGCTAAAAACAACTTGAGGTTATTTATAACTGAAATAGACCGACTGAATCCTAACAACATGATGACCTTGCTCGTAAACTAACATTGAAATGACCAACAGAGACAATGGACCACGATATTCTACATAAAATACAAATTATGCATCATGCACTTTGGTAGATTTCAGCCTAATTAAGTGAAATTAAAAAGAAGAGTGCCTGTGTAGAGAGTCAATGCACTACATGCTTTTTCAAAACTAAAATGGTACTTGTTCTTTGTTCTCATCCTTTGTGTTGTGTCCTCTGATGCGCGAAACAAGAAAAAAAGAAGAAAAAAAAAGCATTTCTGCGCCTTAACCCAGAGACCTTAAAATATATAATATTTCACTTTGGCTTAACATTTTCATGTAGTCAGCCTCTTGGCTTGAATATATACTCTAACATTAACATCTGTACATGGCGATCAGGGGATGATGCATTTCCCCGGGACTCTGAGAGGCATGAAAGCTAAAATTGAAATTTATATTTATATTGGTACCAAACATCTGTTTTCTAGATTGAGAGTTGATTTATTTATGCAGCTATTTAACTCATTTAATATGCAAAAATATGCAGAATAGTTATTGTCAGACTGTTGGTATTGCTGATATATGAAGGTGCCTCAGCAACAACAGCCTTTCCACAACCCAGGTCTGATCTGTTGGCCAACAGCTGTTTACTGGGATGTTACATATTTTACTTGATATTTTTTATGCAAGTGCAAATGTATTGTAATTTTTTAAAAGGAAGTGATTACTAATGTTGAATTTATTTTTTATTGAGAAACAAAGCTTATGTTCAAATTTCTGTTTCTACTTTTTATTTTGTACAACTTGGGTTTTACTTGGGTTTATAAATCCATGCTTTAAAATAACACTTTGAGGAAAACCCTGCAAGGTTCAGTCACACTACATGGACAATGACCAAAAATATGATATTAGTAAGACTCTTGACCAGGTAATTTTCCTGAATTCCTTGTAACTTTGTCGCAGTATTCACATTTTTTTTATAGAGAATGACATGCGTCTCTTGACATTATTACTGCATTCGGTGGTTTATGTCCTATGCAATACAGTGCAAAGAGACAAAGGGAAGGAATAAATAAGTAATGGAGTATTATGTGTATTGAAATTGCCACAGTGCAAATTTCAGGGGAAAAAATTTGTTCGTGCCAAAGGCATTCTCCTAAATAATTCTGAGACAACTGACCCAGTCACATTAGTACACCATCATTAAGCAGTTAATACTAAAGCATAGTCCATCCTGATCATCCCTATCACCTTTGGATTTAGGCCTGCATGAATTATTGCCATTTCTTTTGCAAATACGGAGGGAAATGACTGTGACACTGGGTTTGATAGCTTTTGGAATACTATTAGTCAGCATTTTTGAAATCTTGAGTTATGGACAGTTATCTTTCAACTCAACTTTTGTTTCCCAATTTTTGATTGTATAATCTATTAAAAATGGATTAACCGATGTTTGTGGGTTGTTTTTTTTTTGGTCAAATAACAGTTCATGTGTTCATATGAGATTAGGAGTTAGTTCAAGATTGCACCATTGATCAGTTGCACAACGTCATACAAATCCCGGATGATGAAAGGGACCTGTACTTAAGAAACATACAGTGATGGGGGATGGAAATAATTAGTTGAAAAGGTTACTGCTCAGTCTTTTACATGATACAATTTGTAATGCTTTAATAATATCATAAAATCATCTAATTAACGCAATTTCAGTGTAGGAATAAGTACCAATCAGTGATGAACACAATGATTTCGAAGCTCTAAAATTAAACAAGATCAGGATTGTCTGGGCAGTCTCAGGGGACTGAATGTATAGCTGGGTGTAAGTCTTTAGCAGGTAGTCCAGTTGTGTCACCAGGTCTTAAGAGCTGCAACAATTAGACAATGAATCTGTTAGTTGATCAACCCATAATTAATTAAACCATTTTGATAATTAATCATTTTTAAGACATTTGTCAAGCAAAAATTCAAACATTTGATTGTTCCAGCAAATATGACCATCTGCTACTTGTTTTCGTCTTAACATCATAGTAAATTGAATATCTTTGGGTTTTGGATTCTTGGTTGGACAAAACCAGACTGATGACATCTCAGGCGTTTTTCATTTTCGGAAGTTTTACAGATTGAATGAGCTGACAAGTTCATTAATTAGGAAAATAATAGTTGCAGCACAACTAGGTTTAGTTATATGGTGCAATTTATCTGTAATATCTATAGATTAGTTCATTGAATGCAAATGGCCCTGAATATATTACAAAACCAGTCAACAAATTGCAGAAAGTCTTCAGCAGAGCTTTGTGGGGGGTTTAGTAATGAATTGCAGAGCTGATCTGAAGCATTTCAGGAACTGGTAAGTGCTTCACCAGTTCTGTTTTTGTGAGGGCTTGCAGCTGCTGTTTCCTGCCTTGCACCAAGCAGGTTAACATCTCACAGTTTAAAAGGTAACACCAGTTCTGCTTTATATCGCTCAACTTTTATAAGTCAAACAAGGTTTAGTGCACACACATCCAAAAAACTTCTACAGGTGCTAGATCAAAAAGCAAACACATGGCAAGTACTATTAGCTTCCAGCTATTCAAAAACAGAGCTCTAAATTTCACAGATTACTCAATTGAAATAACTGTGAACTATTATTACAGTGTACAGACCTTTGTCAGGTCCTTAAGTCAAATTTTTAAAAGCCACAGAATTTGTTCAAATTGTCCTACAGCAATGTCATACTTGAATATCACCTACAAGACACGCATAAAGTACTAACTTAAACTTTAATACTTGAGTTCTTTATAATCTAATTTGTTAAAACATCTGGCAAAAAATCTACATATTTGTTAGGCTCATACCTACATGAACCATTTCAACAGAAGCCTCCTCTAAATTTATTTAGGCAGGAACTATAACTGATGAAGTGTGACAGAATTGGTTTCATTTCATTCAATGCTGTTTACTCCAGGACACTCACTCACTCATGGGAGAACCTATAGACACACACACACACACACATATATTTTTCTCACATACTTACAACTGTCGCACTGACTCTCTTACATGCATGTGCACATAGACACACACACACACACACACACACACACACACACACACACACACACACACACACACACACACACACACACACACACACACACACACACACACACACCCTTGTAGCACTGTCTTAGTGGGGCCCCGGCAGTGACATTGCATTCCCCAGCCCCTTATCCTAACCAAACCAAAACTCAAAAAACCCTTTAAACTTGTAGGGTCCAGCATTTTGGTCCTTGGACACCTTCACTGTCATACATATACTTGTCTCAATGACTTACTGACATTACTTTGGGCCACCAGATAGTGCTTTAGCTATCTATTGGCTCTAACTTAAAGTGCAATGTCATTGACCTCATAAACCGCTGCAGAAGTACAAGAAAGCTTCTCATTTCACATGGTCAACGGTTACACAAGCTCTGAACAAATGCCTTTTACATGGAAATACAATTTGCACTAGAAGTTTATCACAAATACATAATTTTAACTAATTGTAGGACACTTTAATTTACAGTTTCTGTGTAAACTGTGGACCAATCATTGTCCCCAGCTATTTGATTTAATCGATTATGAAAAACGTTTTAAGATTTTGTTGAGGCAAGCCTAGACAACATCAATCAGAGCAAATTCAATATTCAAGTAATGGCAATGAACAGGCTTTTGACAACAGTACTAATATCATACCACACAGTTTCATCATAAACTCAATGCCTGACACATGGCACACTATGTAACAGCAGCTCAGTATCAATTTCAAAATCAAGACATTAAGTTTTCTGCAAGGAGAGACATTTTTTCAACCACCAAAACCTGAATGTAAACATTCATTAAAACAGCTGCTAAACTGAACCATAAAACACCCTTCATGACAACACATGAAAACATCCTGTTGACCTGCTGCTATTATTACATAGTCCTTCCATAGTGAAGGAATGCCATCTTTCAATAATCTCCAGTCAGACAATTAGACAGTATTTGAGTTCCTGTATAATAAAGTTTTCATTAGATTTTAATCCAGACACCACTCTGTTTTTTCCACACTTATTGTAATCATCCAACCAGGATGCTCTCTGCTCACCAATTTCTCTTATTTTGTTCCACTCTATAAGGTAAAGCCACCCCTCTCCATCTCTGTCAGGCCAAAAATGGATCGAAAGTGGCCTGACTATCAAGTAGGCGTGGCTGGTCAGCTTTTTATAAAGCTGTGTTGACCAGTGTCGAGCCTACATATCTGAAACTCCAAGACTCCATTCAGTTTCTGATTCACCAACAAGATCCTATTTACTTACTGTTCCAAAGGCTGAACGCTGCAGCAAGCCTCCTGAACATCCATACCACGGGCAGATCAACTCTCCAAGGCTCCTTCCAGGTCTGCTGTCTCTGTTAATGGATTACATATAGAGAGTGGGTTTTCTACAGGTGAGGCTACTATTGATAAAATATGACTATTTGGAACTCTTATTAGGTTTTCTCGGTATATGACTGCGGTCCAGTGACTGGTTGGAGAAAGACAATGCATGCACAAACCTTTTTGTGATAGAAGTGCAATAGAGTAGTCAGATTCTGTTCAAGTTCCTCCCGCCATTGCTGCACATTTTATGGCAATGGTTTGCATTTCTTATCTTACTGGTGGTCTCATATACTGCCAGGAAACTCTTACATTCAAAATCAGATGGGTGCAAGAAGCTACTGAACTTGGACAGTCCTATTCATGGTTGTTCTGCCTACGACTTTCACTCAACATAAAGTACCTCATGAATGCAGTGCTGTTGGATGGTCAACTCTCAAGTTAAAACATCCATCCAGCACATAAATGCACAAAACATAAGTATCCCTCAAATACTGCAGATACAGATCTGGCTAACAGAAATGTGAAATTACGCTGTAATTACTGTTGATAAAGAGTGCTTTCTTGTGTGTGTTGTCAGTCATGTGTCCTCCAGGCCTGTTGTTCCTGCTGTTGGTGTCCTCCTGCCTCCTGGTCTTAACCGTTCTACCAGGTCCTCCAGAGGGCTCTTCTCTTGATGAGGGGCAACTGCAGCAAGGATGGCATGAAAATCAACTGAGGGACAGTATTAAAAAGTAGGATCGTTGCCAGTATTTGGATCACACATTGCTGGAGCAGTTAATACCATCCTGCTGCTCGTACCAGATGCAGATCCACTGGGCGTTGTCAAGTTTTTTTCCCCCTCAAATGACACACAAACCATCATATGAATAGACATTCATAAGAACCAGTTGAACACTGATGTGCTCAATGTAAGACACTATGATGAATGGAAAACACTTCCCCATTCATCATAATGACTTAGGCCTTTTGTTCAGTGTTACAATTACTACAGACAGTACATACATAAGTGTGTTGTAAAATATTTGAGAATATTGTTTTTATACTCAGAACACACAAATACACGGTAACAAATATATTTTATTTGTCCCACAAAAACAATGTACACAAGGTACATCCCATTCCCAACCAACACAAAGTTGCACATACAAAACAGAAGAATTTACTGTACACAGTTACAGTAAAAAAAAATCCTCTCTTCTGTTGCGGTCTGGCCACAGCGCCTCATCCACATCACAAGCAATGTTTTCCCTGGTCAAGCAGCAGGGGAAATATCGCCTAGCATGGCGATTCCAGCCATGAAAAACATCAGCTACTATATCTCCACATGCATCCTCCATAGCTTGGAGAAGAGGTATACGCGTTTGTGGATTTCGGTCATACACTTTCCATCTCCAGGCAGAAAAAAATTCCTCAATAGGATTGAGAAATGGAGAATATGGAGGGAGATAAACTAAAAAGCGTGGGTGGGCAGTGAACCAGTTACGAACCAGAGCAGCCCTGTGGAATCTTATGTTGTCTGAAATGACAACGTACCTGAGCTGCTCTGGGCCATCTACCTGATCTGGTGGAATGAGTGTGTAGGGTGTCCAGGAATGTGATCAGATGGGCGGTGTTGTAGGGGCCAAGGGTAGCATGGTGATGGATGATGCCATGGTGGGTAATCGCTGCACACATTGTGATGTTCCGTGCTGGCCAGGGACTTCAACAATGGCATGCTGGCTGATAACATTCCTTCCCCTCTTGTCTTTTTGTGACGTTGAAACCAACCTCATCAATGAAGATGAACTGGTGCTCCACTGTAGCCACCTCTAGCTCAAGGACTCTGAAACACACATGACAATATCAGAAATAGACATGGAGTGGTCACTATTGTGAAGCACAATTATTATGATTACAATATTAAAATATGTAAAATTTACTGTATACAGTGTTGAGTGTATGCATCAATTGTGGGACTCACTCGCACATAGTTATATCGCAATTCTTTGACTCTTTCTGAATTGCGTTCAAATGGCACCCTGTAGACCTGCTTCATCCTGAGATGATTTCTGCGCAAGACACGGT